CGACAGAGAGGGTCATCAGCAGCAATGCACCAGAGAGACTTCAAGGAGCAATGGCATATGCTGTCCCCGATGCATGTACTGCTGAGTGGTGTGCCTACGCCAAGGGATCAATAATAAAGGATATTGAGGATACCTAACCCTTGAGGGCGAACCGGCACTCTTTAGGTTGGGGGCGTGCCACAAAGGCAATAGAGCCAAAGGGTTCAAAAACAGACACGTTGGGAGACGCCAAGGGCTCCTGAGGCAGAAACATGTGCTTGGTCGCCGCAAGCCCGATGTACTCGCACGCCCCAAGCCTTGCTGGTGAGCACCAGCACGTCAAAATTTCCAACGTCGATACTGTAATCCGCTTACCTTCTCGGTGATCGTGTGCCCGGGTAGATGGACGATCTCGTTGGGGTACCAGCGGCGTTGAGGTTCCTCCGCGGTCGCCGTAGCCGCGAGGACCGCCGCGCCAATCCACGCGAGCGGCGCCATGACCATCACTGATGCGCTGCTGCAGCTGCCTGGCAACAACTTTGTCTCCCCTCGCGCGAGCCCTTGGCGGTCTCGCACAGCAGGATATGATAGCTTGGTGTTGCACGCTTTTCGTATTGAGAGAGGGGCACGACAGATTGCTTACGTAGAATTGGTAGGCACGCGACTCCGTGGATCGCACGGCGATTTTTCTTCGGAAATTTCTTGTCTTTTGTGGTTTGGTGTGGCGGTGTGGCTGTAGGTAGATCTTCCACTTGTTTCCATCTCGCCGATGGCCCGACACATCGGACAGTGGCTATCCCCGGCATGGTAGGGGCACGTGGGGCGAGGTGTCTAGGGACAGCATGTGAGACCCATTGTGTCTCATGCTCATGCCGTATCCGTACCTATTTTCCCCTACAATGGCCTTTCTTTGTTCGAGCGGTGCCGCCCCACTTGTTGATGTTCATGGCAATCGATTTGTACTTACCACCCGTCGTCATTCCGAAAGGATCAAATCAAAGTCTTCCAGACCCTACATGATTGAGCTCAGCAGGCTGTTCAAATTTGTATAGGATTTATGGTATGTGGCGCCGGCGGCTATGAGCCCAACTTCGTTTGTTGGTCATTTTTTTGTTGTGCGCGTGTGCAAGTAGTTGGAGACTCGTTTCTTGCTGCGAAGGATGTAAGATGCTTCTGATGGCGGGCACAGGCAAAAAAAACTTGTTGTGGACGCGAGAGGCATGCGTGAATGTTGTATGCAAACATGGATCCGTTGTCTACCCCCGCTTCTCTGATCCTCTCGATCTCCAGTTGCCGACGAGCTCGGCTTTGATTCACACGGTGATACCGACAGCAGTATCTGCCGACCGCCTTGCGCCTTGGCTCCGGTGCTACTCGGTTTTTGGTTGCCGCCCCGGCTTTTACTAGACAGACTACACCGAGCTGGTGCCCTTGAGGATCTCATCAAGAAACAAGCGTCTCAGCGAGGTCTAACCGGACGTTGAACCTAGGTTCCTCACATGGGATGTCTCACACACCGTGGCCAACCCAACCAAATCCAACCCTAACCCTAACCCTAACCCTAGCTCTAACCCTAACCCATGGTCAGCGAACGGCCTAGCGGCCGCGAACTGCGCTAAAACGCAGCTGCGCCGCGTTGTCGGAATACGGAATGGAATCGACCGCTCGAACCAGTGCTCGACCAATTAGAGGGCGTAAAAGCCCGTAGATGGGAAGAGTCACCGACAGGCCGTAAAAAAGGGTGGTTCTTAACGACCAAAAATACACGGAACATTTCACGGAAGCGTGTTTTCTTGAACATATATACGGAGGAGGCGTTTTCCCCCGGAAACGTGTAAAGAAAGAACCGAAATTTTTCGGGGCTTGCTACTTTCACGGATCCGTGTTTTTGACAGAAGCATCGGACAAGTGCACCGCGGGCACTGCTGTAACATCACTGAGAACGCTAGAAAGCCTGCCAGACTCACGTTCAGGTCTGTTGTGGAGATAGACAACCGGCAGAAGCGGCGTTCAGTCCGTTTTTCGTCCAAAACTAGACATTGCGTGGTGTTCTCGACTTCAACTGCTGCTGTTGTTGGTGCCGGGGAATTTTTTTCAATCACACATAGCAAACTCGGAAACAGCAGTAGAACGGGTACAGCAGCAGTACCGAGACCTCCAACGCGCTGGTTCCTTCGATTCGGCTGTCTATATGAAACAAGGTTTTCGTGTGATTGAGAGGGAAGTTTCTGATTGAGAGCGAGATTGCGCGATGCGCTGTAGCTGGACTACCGCTGAGAGGTGGAGCTTGCTGCGTGGCTTGAATTGAAGGCCTAGACTAGCCCGTAGCTACAAGCCGATACCCTGGTCATCCTGTGGGCGTCTCTCGTTGTGGAGCTACAGCGGGGAGCAGAATCTACAGCAGAGCTCAGCGCCCGCGATCAAGTCGCCCTGAAACAGTTTGAGGCAGGAATAGCCAATCTGGGGAAATCTAGCAACTTGTCTAGCTCCTAGCTGCAGCATCCGATCGCGATGACACGCATATGCTCGTGACGCTGCTGATGAGACTAGGCCTGTCCTCCATCGGCCGTTTTGCTTGTATGACGGAGAATAAGGAGGTGGAATTACTTGAAATTAGTATAGAAATAAAGTTTGTGTATCTAAATCGAAAATAAAACGGTCGATGGAGGACAGGCCTAGATGAGATCTTCAATTTGTGCCGCTTCTTGGAAGAGCCCGCCCCCTACTTCCCAAGAAATGGCAAGAGGCGTCTGGACCCGAAATTTCAATTTTTTTGGCTCCCGCTCTCAATCGTATACTCCGCTCTCAATCAGGCGAAAACCCTGTAATGATACCATCTCCCGGCGCCGTACTGCTTCGTGGGTATTAGGTGCTTGGGTGCTGCTCAATAAGGTGTGTGAGAGACGTGTGCCACCTCACCAAAATGCCGTTGGAAAAAATGCGGCGAGATGTTCTGTTTTTGGTCGGACACGTCAACATTAATCCACGGCACCACACAGCAGAAGAGCAGCAGGGCCTCCGACACGCTATTTCGTTCGGATTGGCCATCTATATGATGCTGGCCGTCAGCGTGGCTGCCACCCAATGATTGTTGAGCTCGTCTACCTTTGGGCAGGTGGTGGTCAAAGATGGGAGTCGCAACCATGAAAAATGAGCTGGCAAACTGAAGAAATCGCATGCAACACCCAGGTTGCGACACTCTGCCCTGCGCCTGTTGTTGCTGAAAACTGAAAACAGCAGGCCGGGTGGATAGGATCTTTCTAAGTGTGTTGTCCTCTGTGTCGGGTGGTTCTCATTGCGCTTTTACCGCTGCTCAATGGTGAGCTACACCAACTCAACCTGTGGTGTGCCGAGCAAAGCCTGTATTCAGGGAAGGAAACGTACTTTTTGCGATGACATCACGAATAGAACAAGCGAAAAAAAGCCGGATATTCTTGTCACCGTTCCGTGGAAAAATTTAACTACTTTTCGGAAGCGTTAAGAACCACCCTAAGCACTGGAGCTGGTCTCAGCACCCCTTTTTGCAGGGAGCATTCCGGGGTACCCAACAGAACCCATCCTACCGTGCGTTGAGGGTTAGCTTCCCTGTAGCTTGGCTTGCCGCTGATCCGGCGGCCGTTCCGCGCGAGACCGTTCGAGGCGTGAGAACACTTTGCTTGTTGCATCGGGGACCACACTACATGTAGGCCTTGCGTGCAGCCCTGCAAGAGGATGTTATGATCGGGTCGCCTCTCCACTCCATTCGTGCCTGAGCGACGCTGGCCTAGAAGCGTCTTATTATACTACCGAGGGTGCGCCACGATCTCCTGGGGGCGACTTCCGCAGCGCAAGCAGGGCCTCCGCGAAGCCTACCAGAGAGCGAATCTTGGCTCTTCGCGGGATGCAGTTTGCCCCCGGCACCGGCCTTGCCGACTGGGCGAGTAAAACTCCTGGGAAGTGGGAAGCATTTTGTGCCCGTTTCCTTGGGACTTTATTCCTTTGAGGGACGTAGAGGCGGCCAGACCTCGGCCACGATTCGCGCCGGGGTGCCAGCCGGCCACACCGGCGGCGGTGGATGCCGAACCCTTCCACCGATGGGGTGTCCTCAGTTCCCCCTTCGTGTCTCGTCGGCCGAGCGGGACGTTCGCTCACGGGTTCCCAACGACGATCAGATCGAAGCACGCCTGCGGGCAACAAGGACAAGGGCACGAAGATACCACGTGGTATCATGCCTACTCTGCGACGGGATTGCCCGTGATGACGACACAGAGGCACCTCGGGTGGCGGCCGTCGTACACATCTGCATCCCACGTTCCACCTTACCGTCCCGTATATTTTGGAGGGCCTCTTGCGCCATACACGGCGTATCAAACTACACGATTCTAGAGTTCTTACAAGGTTCTAGAATTCTTGTGGTTTGGCACACTTGGGCCGATGAATCAGGAGCCCGTGGTACCGTCCGGTTGGAGCGAGGTCGTGGCAACCTGAAGGGAAAGCTACTCGAGCTTGCAGGACTCGGCCGTGCTCGACTACTCTCTGCTGGTCAAGGGTGCGTTCGAGGTGGACGGCTGTGGTGCATGCAACCCAACGGTGGAGGTCTCCGCCAAGTTCTGACGACCAAGGGAGGCTGCATGTGCTCCCGTTGCCTACGAAGACGGTGATGCCGGATCGACTGCTTCTCGTCTACCTTCGCATGGATACCACGTTTGATGCATAGGCAGACGAGTTCAACGTACGGCGTGGAACACGACAACTTGTGCGGTAGATCAAACAACAACATAACACTCTCATTCCACCAAGCGTCATCTCTTGTGAATACCATCGCCGGCGTTGCCCTCACACTTGCAAAAGAAATCTGCACTCCATTGTACACTCATCCCCGTGGTGACGAACGCCGACACACCGCGTCCAACAGGCAACACTTTTTTTTGTTTGTTTCTACGATTTTTTTCAGAACTTATCGTCCAATAACAGGTCCTCCTGCCTCGACTTCTCCGAAATTTCCCTGCAGCTCATCAACAATCTCCCAATATGAATATCCGATGGCTGGTCGAGTCGTCACCGCCCTCAGCGATTGGTGTTGATTGTGGGTAGTAAGTTATCCCAGGAACGGCCGATGAAGAAAACAAAACACATATCATTCGTGAACAAAGTAGTGTCATATTTGAAGGGACGCACAAACACACAAACCACACACTACCGACACCGAGACCGGCCAGGGAGCACACCTGCGTGCGCTTTCTCAGGGAGGGTCCCACTCGGAACCCCAACCGCATACATGCCCCTCACACAAACACCGTTAACCCAGATCGGATATCGCACCCAAGTGCTTCAAACAGCCCTCCTTCTTGATATGGTCGGAGACAACCTGGACATGCTTCCAAGAGTATTAGCTGACCAACACAGAATAACGCTACGTGACGAAACCTCTCCAATAAAACTGGCTACTACGCATTCAACACAACGCGTCTCCATCAGTTTACCAAACGCTTTCGTCCCTGGAAACTTTGAGCTCCAACCGTGGACACAAAGAAACCATTCTCAGAAAAAGTACCAAACAAGAGTCAGCGCTACATCATGAAAGCGCCGGAACGGTGACGGACAGTGTTGAAAGAAGCAGCTTCAAAGAATAGACACATAACTCAAACAAGACAACGTTTCAACTTCTTATCCAACAGAAACGAGCATTCGGAAAGCACAACCGCCCCAACTAGAGATATATCGTGTTCGAGGCACCAACACCCTCAGTGGTTGGTGATGAGTATGGGGACAATGTCGTCTGAGAACACGCATGCACAGCGTGTGTGTGAGTACACACACCAACCAACCATACACGCACGTACAATAACCTCAAGCGTGCACCCCTGGGGGGGGAGGGGGGCACTTGGACACCCAACCGCATATAGATCCCTCACAGAAATAAATTTCCAGTACTCGTGCCACAAACAATGGCCGACTCCTGGACTCCAATGGATTTCTACGATGGCATCTCGAATCATGCGTGAACTCTGGAATGAAGTCAACGCTTGGTCCGCCGTGTGGTCGATACCCAAAGGGAAACATGAAATACCCACGACGTGCTATCAATACTATATTACAGCCACACGGATAATATTAGTTCGCACCCCGTCCCTTAAGCTAGGTCCACGACAATACAAGGTTTACCGAACTGTCCCCCCCCTACCTCGCTCTCGTACTTTGCACATACATTATCTACACACACGCCGTTCATTTTAATGCCTAGTCCCCTCTAAAATTACCATGCACTCCCTCCCTCTCGGCCAGCATTTCCTGCATTGCGAGGACGTAGGTCGACGTCAAAATTGCGTCACCACCCTTGCATGTCGCATCACATCAGGCGGCCGAATATTGTGTACGTTGTCCCTCCGGCGTATTCTCTAGAGGGGCCCGCAGTCAAGAATAATGTCGCCTAGAATAGGAGCTGTGATGCATTCACATAAAGAACCTCTCCGGTCTCTGCTCATCACCTTTTACCATCGGTACCGGTCCAACGGAGGCACCCCCCTTCTGGGGTCCACGACCATCTGCCGAACATGGCATTTTTGTAGGAAACCAAAGGTACAAGAAAAAGCGCCCAGAAGAATCACCACAGAGATGCGAAAGCAGAGCAAAACCAACAAGCCGAAAGGAACTAAACTACCCTAGACAATCAATAGTCAGACGTGGCTAGTCACATACTTCTAGGATAAATATTAATAATTCCAGCGTTTGCGAATTTCGTGCAACTGGTGCTATGTGAAGCATAGCACTGCCGAGGATTTAATACTAGCATCAAGATATTACTCCACCGTGTTGGCGAAACACGAAATTGAGTCTCGACGAAAAAGTTGATTAATTGTTCTCCACTCCGGGCACTAGCTGTGTTTGTGCGCGCTGCACCATATGCTGCCAACTCGCGGTATCCTACATCACAAGAGGAAACGACAGCGATTTAAACAATATCTAGCCCGACCACGGAATTATTATTCTATTTGGTTTCGTCGCGGGTTTTCGTTGTTGAGACACCATACCCCACCATCCGCCACGACATTCAAGGGAGACCTGAAGCACCGTTTCTTCTTACGCACAACGCCTTGCTACAGTCTTCGCATCGGCACACATCGCCGATAGAACTCGATCGTGCATTCTCGCAACGACTTACCTTTCGGTATTTCCCCCCACCTATCACCACCACAATTCCTCTACTTGATCTAAACTGATCGGAAGAGGGACTTGTCCGAACAGAAAATTAAAGCTTTAGCAGGATGGCCAACCGATACCGCACCAACAAAGACCCTACATTCGCCGGTCGACGCCATGAGGCTGGGATACATACATTTACGCCACTTATCGTGACCTCCATGAAGCCCGCAGTGGAAGTTTCCTGCCCACACTCCTTTAAGAAGGGAAGATTTGCCCGACACCGCCCGCAAAACCAAAGGTATCTGACGCTTTCACGTCGCGCTTGCCTACATGCCCGTTGAAACAGCAAATAAATGTAGCTTTGTAATACCCCGCGCTACTTTACGGCGTTCAGTGCGTCCTTCGTCGCCATAAGCGTATCTACGGCCTCCATAACGCGCCTTGGTTCCTACTGCCCCCTGACGGTCGTCGGTACATCGCCTGGTCCGGAAGCAAATACAGGTGGAGAGCACACACATGAAAGGTCAGTTTTGCTGAAGGTTCAACCGCACGCATCGTATTTTCATCCCAGATAGGGAAGGAACTGCGGAGGGCGTGGGTAACGTGTGAAAAGGATTGCTCACGACAATGAGTAGGCCAGTGCGCAAGTACCTGATTTGAGGGAGATGGAGGAAAATGGTCACTACAGAATACGCAAACTTTCATGAAACATGAGTCTAGGCTCTATCTGTGTTTAGAGATTAGTGGTCGGTGCTACGACCAGGACACAACAATTTCTTGATGAGAGCATCTAGGTTCGCAACCCCTCGAAGCACGAGCGGGAACATCCACCAAACGCGAACAACAGTTATCACGAACAGGGACGTCAAACAAGTTAACCTTCCTGCCGCACAAATTCCCCCCAAGCCACAGTAGATTATTTTCCTGGTAGGACAGGATTTCCATTAAATAAGCACCAAGAGCGCCTCACAGCGCGCTCCCGCCCAATCATTCGTCATCCAATCGCGCGGGGTAGTTTGCCTGTCGATTTTGGGAGGCACAGTCAGTGTTGGATACTTTCATTTGGTTCTAAATACCCCCCGCGCCTCAGGGGTTTGGTCATATCAAGGCGAGGTACAGGTAGCTGTCGCGCCCACCATTAGCTCGGTCGCAAGGTACAGCGAGTCGCCGGAGCGCGATCGGACCTCCACGAGCATGTCCACCTTGACAGGTTCAGCCAAGGACGGTGTCACGCGACGCACGAAAAGAAAAGAAGCCGACCACCGGATGTGGGCAAGGCAACGGCGCAGAGGTCTGATCAGTGTGATTGCGGACTGCTAGTGCGGAGTGTAACGATGGAGGCACCATTGGGATGATCGGCTCTACGCGTGTTACTTCGTCCACGGTGGACAGGCGAACGCCGACCAGGGGAGGGAGGGGGCGGAAGGCTGATTGGCTTTGGTGCGAAATGTGCTCTCCACACTCCTCCGGTTGAGTTCTGTGCCTGGCATTGGGGTCGGTGTAGCAGTAACGGGACTTTTCCGGGGAGTCCGCCAAGGAACAACAACACACCTAGTGACGTCTCACGTGTCGACCGACCTGGGTTTTCTTTGCCGTACACGGATGATGGCACAGACTATATCTCAATGAGCGAGACATCACAGTTCAACTATTTTCCTCCAAGTCTAATGACCCTCTCGCAGACCGTAGGGGCGCCGGACTTATGATGGCACAGACTATATCTCAATGAGTGAGACATCACAATTCAACTATTTTCCTCCAAGTAATGACCCCCTCGCAGACCGTAGGGGCACCGGACTTGCTAGCCACGTCGGAAAAGACAAAATTCGCACTGTGCAAAGGTTTTTTCTTGTTTCAAAGACCGTCAAGTCGTCGTCACACGAATGAGTGGGAGAAGCTGGATCACCACCGCGTGGACTTGCCTTGGGTCGAGGGGGGTCACACTCGGGCCGACTGCTCCGGAGCCCATATTCCCAGCGGATCAGCGTAGGAGCGCTGATCGCGTTGGATCAAAGCCTTTGTCCACGCAGTCCGCGTTCGAGCTCATCGGCTAAAGATAAGCTCTATGGTGTCTACACCGCGCATGGGGTTCATGACGTTTTTATTGTGTCTACGTACGCCGAGACACGGAGCCCGCGACGCCTGGAATGGACCATTTTCAACTACCGCAATGTTCTTGAGGCCTTATGTTTACGCTTAGGTTATTGTAGGTTGTTTCTCCAAGCGTCACTCGATTTTGAACCATGGTGTTATGCCTCTAACAGCCTGACCCGGCTCTTTCGGTTCGGTACTTCGTCGAAATCCACAGCAGCTCTGATGCGATGTTGCGAACATATGGGTTCCAGAGTCACCAAACAACCGAGCAAACTACAACAGACGCACCTTCACAACCCGAATAGCTTTCGAGTTGTACACCTCCGGCCATAGTTCTGCCATGCTCGGATACTGCACTGCCCCGTAAACGCGCCCATTGCTGCCGGCCTGTTAGCAAGCACGCAGCGAACGAGTACGAGATGGCGTCGGCAGTATTCAACCATTAAAAGCCTTCGTTCGCCAAGCACGTTCTCAAGATCACGCGTTGACGGTGCGCCTGTCGTACCAGGAAGAGCATCAACCCTCTCAAAATGAAAAGGGCATTTTAACGCCGTGCTCTCGAGCAGAGCGTGTACATTTGGCCTTCTTGTGCCCGCTGAAAGAACTGGCGATGATCCTACATGTGCCTCGCTTGCAACGTGCGGCGTCGAAAGGCCTGTCTACCGGAGCAAAGAAATAGTCTCTAGCGGGGCAATCACACGTCCAGCAGAAACGACGGTCTTGCAACTTCTACCGACTCTTGCCTGCAACGGACCGACCATTCTCTCCGCTTGGCGTCCGGGGTTGGCCGAGAACTGAGCCCTCGCTGCCAGCGCTGGCAACGGCCGTCCCGTCTCTCCCAGCCCGATGAACACGAGGTATTGCTCGTCGTCGCTACGAGGCACAGATAGGGCCGCGGCGAACGGCGAGCCCGACGGCTTGTTCGGCTCAATCGTGCGGCCCTCGAAGTCGAAATCCTGAGGCATAGATTTTATGAGATTGGTCGTCATCGTCGCCCGGCACGATAGACTACTCTGTTGGAGGCTCAGTTGTTGCCCTCGTCGTACGGCTCATAGGTTAACTGTCTTTCACGACTGCCTCGATTCCAAGCTGCCACGCACGAAACAGGGCCCGTTGCTCTCGATGATAATCTGACGGTCGTACTCTCGCATCATCTGTGATTGTTTTCGAATCTAAACCGTGGCGACGAGCCTCACCGAAGTACGAGTGATGGTCGGGATGGCTCCTGCACATCGCGGCCATGGTGCTTGTCTCCACCATTACGGCCTTTAACAGAGCTATGACGCACGGTGAATCAACCGGGCTACGCCATGGGCCCAGACACGGTGAATCAATCGGGCTAGGCTATGGAGTCAAGCCAGACGGGCGTTGGGGCTGTCTTTCCTTCAAAAATGTAGTGCAACTCCGGGCCTTGAGGGAGGAATGGAACACCCCATTTTGAAATCGATCGTACGCCCTCGCCACCTCACTCAAGCCGAGGGTGTCGTCTGGAAGAGTCGGACATAATTCTTCACTTCAACGACCGGCACAACTGCCATTGCTATTATTTTTGGTCGGAGTGCATCGCCTTACCTCGCGCAACGACTCGATGAAAACATTGTCAACAGTTGGTTTCGATGCTCTTCGTGACGACTCCTTCTCCCGTTGTTCCTTCTTGCTTACGCCACTCGCCGATGCTGCCGCGGGTGCTGTCTCACTTGCGCCGAGACCTGGTCCGCACAGTGGCGCCGGGACTTTTACCCCTCCACCTCTGACACCACCCAACAAGTCCCCTGCCAACCAGTCGTCTTCCCTCCAAGGAGGCTGTCTCATAACGTTCGGATCCTCGCCGCCGATTTTATTGCTACTGCTGCTGCTACCGGCTGGAGAAACGATTGAGCTGTCGTGTACCTCGACGACCGGCCGTTTAGCGGCGTACAGTTCACATCGTTGACGATGCCGGTTGTTTGGCGGCGCCTGGACCGTGAGCGGCGACAATTTCAGGTCCCCCATCAGCGTGGTGCTGGCGACGCGCACGACGCCGGCGTCGGACATTCGTCGAACAGGAGAAAGAGAAGGGGGAAGAGAAAGAGGGGGAGGAGGAGGAGGAGGTGGTGGTTGTGGTGGTGTCACCGTGAGGGGCGAGAGGTTGCCTCCTCTCGCCCCTTTCTTTGTGCTATCACCTCCACCGTCCCCGAGATCGACGTCCCACCACGATTTGGCGCCCTCCACTGCGCGTAGTTCGCTGTCTGAGGTGCCCAATTTCTTCGGAGCAGGACCTGCATCTGACAGCTCAAGATCCCGTACGAGCACCGCTGCTGCGGCCGTGGCGTCTGGTCCGCCGACGTGGATCCTTGCCGACGGATCCACGATCTTCCTGTGGGTTTCGTAGAGATCAACGTGTGTCAGTTCCGAAGGAATAACACCTCAAGCGTTTGTCTGCACATCGTTTCCGTGATGGAGTCCAATTTTGGCAGGCAGATTTTGCTACATAAATTGTTCCTGTTTAGTTATACACCGCGACGTAGCAGACGTTGGTGCCGTGGACGTTTACGGGTACACGGCCACTGTAAAACATTTTCATGCAACGTCGAATGATTGAGCCCGAAATCTCACCCAATCAGTTCACGCGCGGAAAGCCGGGTGAAGAGACTTGTGTGTATTGCATGAAAGCAGACGAGTATTCGATGTAACACATTTGAACTTGGGCACCACGAAGGACACTGCCCGCTTGTTTGGTTCGCTCATCCTTGGCCTGGCTTATTGTGAGCCCATTTGCGAGACACTCTGTGGTTACGATAAGGCCATCTGGGAGGAAAACCCCGGTTGTTTGGCATCATCGAAGACACGGTTCGGTTTGCTGCATGTACGAATTAACTTGTTTCTATCCTGCCTGCCAGCGCAAAGACCTTTACGCTCGAGGCCAATCATCGGCAAGTCAACACTATTCAAATCTTCTAGGTTTGCTTGTCCATTCCGGGAAACAATCATGGGGGAATGCCCCGCAAGAGGCCCAAGTAAATCACGACGAGAGTGTCCATGAGGGTTATATGTACCGATTTTCGTGGAATGCTCTATTGGATCTGAAGAGCGGCTCATCCATACAAGAACTACGCCAATTTGCGAGCAAAGGAACGGACGCCTTAGCCTACGAGCCTGACAATACAAGAACGGTGTACCAGAGACGAAAAGCCAAAAAATAATGGGACACCTCGGAGATTTTCGATTTCCGCATCTCTCTGGAGCCATCACCACATCCTCAACCTTCTTCTTGCCCAGTCCCCAGTCCCCAAGAAAAACAATTGCGTACCACTTCTGCAAAGCGTATCGCGTGGGCCCCGGGGCTGTTGATGGCTAAGAAAGTAGGGCTTGAAACACCTCACAGTCAACCCATTCTTTTTCGCGGCCAACGCTACCGCGCACTCGGGGGCAATCAATCATTCCCGCAGCTACCTAGAGAGAGTAGTGGTACCGCGGAACAACATGTTGCGAGGCGTGTCGTGCGTCAATGCATTGCGCCGGACGCGCCAAGTTCTCGGTGAAAAATTGCCCGAGCCGAGCACCAATCGGGCATTGCACGCGACTAATCAAGTTCGGGCAATATTATCGGTACATTTCCCCCACAGTACGCACCACCGCAACATACAGAACGGGGCCCGCAGTTATGCAAGACTTCGTTAAGAAGTAGAGGCGCAATGTTTCACGAAAAACAAGAAAAAGGGCTAATAAACACACGTCAATCTAAACCAATGACAGATATTCCGATAAGAAACAGGCCTGTACGATGACCCCAAGATATGAGAAACAAGTGGAATAGCTGGGGGAGCGTGTCCGGTGAATTATGCCCCACTTCTCTTTCACATTTGGTACATGGATATCCCACACGTCGCCCACATTTGGTACATGCATATCCCACACGTCGCGGACTATCACATGTGCTGTCTGCTATGTTTTTGTTTTGTTTTGTTTTTTCTCCCATCATTGGATTCTGTCGTCTGCCCCTCTGGCCTATCCTCCACTTCTACCGGCTAGCTAACCCAACCGGGGTCACATAGGAGGGGGGGCTGGACCCTCTCCTTCGGTTCCTGCCTGAGATATTTTTATCGCGAGAAGGGTACAGCAATTCCTTCGTTCGCGACTTAAGAAGTCGATCAAGTTTACTAACAACGAGCTTTGCAGCATATCGCTTCCAACGGAGACCAGGATTTAATCAGCGATAAAAAACTCACTCTGTTGGGACTCGAACCCGGTGAAGACTTGAACAAGTTTTTGGGGTTGTTGTAATCTTGGCAAAAAAAGGAGAAAATGAGCAAAGCAGGACGCGACAGCCGCAAACAAATAAGAAACCAATAAAGAAATGTAGAAGGTTGTATTGTTCAACCTGGTTGTTTATCACCGGTTAGAAAGATCAGCGAAGGCAAATCACCGAAGAAAACAGATAGGGAAGTAGATCGAAAATATAAACGAAGATTGAGGAAATGGGAAAGAGAAAAGGAGATGGATTACTGCCCACAACAGAAGCGAACGCAAAGGAGCAAGGCAAGCAAACCAGGAGGAGTAGAGAAGGGCCAGAAGGAGGATTAAGAAGGAAGCGAGAGTACGGAGAGGAGTGACAGACAGAGAGGGAGAACAAGAGCGTCGCCGCTTCTTTTTTGGGAGACAAGAGCGAACGAAGAGCAGAAGGGCAGCGTCCATCGGACCCTGCGGCACGTGGCGTCCGACGCCGAATGCCGTACGGCTGGGCATGTTGACACAGATGTGGCGCAGCGACATAGAGGAACAGGAGAAAGGCGGCAGGCGGGGGCACCAATCGGGAGGAAACCGGGGCTTGCTGTGGCAGGGTGGAGGTGAGAGGAGGTCGTCGAGCCGGAGGTCGTCGAGCTAGGGTGAAAGGAGGGGAAGCAGGGGGAAAGGGACGGCCAAGTTGAGGGTCGATACACAGCCACCTTACGCCGAATATTCAGGGAGGAGATCGTCCCACGCGGAGTTTATAGCATACGCGTGCCCTTCTCCTTCTAGTAGCTAATTTCCGCACCCAGTCCCCGTCCTTCGTCAGCCCCCCCTCGACCCACAAAGCGCGCAGCAACTTTCAACCCCACACGCCCAAAACACGGTTCCCGCCAGCACCGGGAGTTGGCATGATATGAAGGCGGGGGGGGGGCTGCAAGCGCGGTAGGCGCCGGGATCGACGCGGACGGGGCAGGGGACACCGGGCAGGCCTGGCAAGAGGTGGGGGCAGCGGGGCGAGAACACAGCAGGCCAGGCGGGAAGGATGGGCAGCCGCAGCGTTTCAACCAGCCTACAATAATCGCGAGCGCACTGGTGGAGCGAGCCAAGGAGGGGGGTGGGGAGATCCCGGGGGGAAAGGCGTTGGGGGGCATCCCGCTTCCGGAATATGCCAATGCGTTCGGTCTGCTGTCCTTGGCGTCTACCTTCGGCGGGGAGGGAGACGGAAGGGGTGGCGAGGGGCAGCGTGGGGGAGGGAACATGTACCGCGGGAACGACAGTGGTGGCGCTACAACCACAGTTCCAAAACATGTCACCGGTTCCGGTGAGTAATCAGCACATCAAAGGTGTATAGAAAGGAATTCAGAGAGGACACGCGGAAAACGGTACACAAGCAAGTGGGACGAGACCCTTGATCTGACGAACGATGGGAACAACGCAGCAATGCGATTGCAGGGAGGGAGCGGGGGAGAAGGTGTTGTAGATTGGACTAGCCGTTACGTATCTGGTGATCTTGAGGACTTCAGAGTCGTTCGCAGAAAAGGATGGAATAATCCACGAGGTGTACCGCCTGGACGAGAGAGGCTTATGGCAGAAAGGATAGAAGAGCACATGAGAGGGTCGAAGGGGGTATCAAGGGAGGAAAGGAGCGTTGATGGTGAGGGACACAGTAAGGGAAAAGGGAGCGGTGGAAGTGATGCTGGAGCTTCTTGGGGATATGTGGAATAGAGGGACTGGGTGCAACGGCACCGTGAAGTTGCACAAGGGAAATTGATTGGGCAGAGGAGAAGGGTGACAGAATAATATAGATATGGAATAGGAACGGTTGCAAAGACGTGTTCGGAGGAAGGGAAAGGGGCAGGGGCATGCTCAAACCGGAAGAGTTCGCATATCACTCTGGAAGGACAGGTGGGGCGATGAGATTGGCCTCAAAAAGGGTACCGGAGACCATTGTCAAGAGGGAAGGTTCGCGGTCATCGAGCGCATTTTTGGGCAATCGTGACGGCGAATGAATATGTGAGACCCAGCATGGGTAATGGCGGCCTTGGAAGAAGGGGAAGGGAGTTTCGAAGGCAACCGGGGCAAGGGACAGAATGTGGGGAGATAGCGTGAGGAGGAATCCAGAAGGTGGCAAGGAGAACGAGTCTTCGTGGTGGGAGGTCTTCTATCCAAGCTGGGCGACCAGCGGGATATGGTCAGCCTGGTTTTCCTACTCACGGAGGCGTTTGGATTCCATTGTAGGAGTGAGGGCCGGAGAGGACGGAGAGATGAACCCCCAGGCCCCGGTCCTTTCTTTCTGTGAGACACTGATAAAAAAATGGCGAAGTATGGCTGCGGATGTTCCTTCGACCCCAGAAAGTTACTTTGGCTCGACCAGATTTTGAGGATTTCATCAACGGGCCCGTTCTGTAATGGAAATCAGGCTTACCCTAGCTTTCTGTATAATTACTGCATGGCGAAGTCGAGCACCCTCGCCTGCCATAAGACAAATAGGGTCTAGAGTGGCAACTCGGTGCTGGCTGTGGCTCGATATACCTGTTGTCTCGTTCAGGATCTCTCGCCGATTTCGTGCGTCCTTGTACATATCTGACGAGCAGTGTAATAGTCAAGGGCGCACAAAGATAGTTATTTCGGACACCTACCCGACAACACTTCATTTTGGACCTCTCCGGGGCGGGCGGTACGAAGGCCCCACCCCCTTCCCCAACGCTATACAATTTCCTACATCAACAAGCCTGAATCCTATATATTGAGGGGGTAGCACAATCCACGCAGCCCCTGGCGAGCTTGCGTGTACCGCAACTGCGGTAACGTCCGTAGCAGCAAGAGAGAGAGAGAGAGAGAGAGAGAGAGAGAGAGAGAGAGAGAGCGAGAGCTTGGGGGCTGAGTGGTCACGATGAGCACAGTCTCCATTTGGAGGAGATCCTGCCTATTAACGACCCCGTCGACAAGACGGCCCTTTGGCTGACAAGAGCCCCCGTCACACGCCGAAAGGTTCCACACGGGAAGAGTGCGGCTGGTAAAGCCCCCGAAGCTCGCCGTAAGGTCTCGCCGGGGGCGGGGGGGG